ATACGTCTGACGGTTAGGAAAGGGTCCCTTACTTTACGGTATGCTACTTTTCTTTTTCACTTTACGTAACGTTACGTTAATTAAGGTCATTTTACTTTACGTTACTTTACTTTACGTATTTACTTTTCGTTATGTTAATTTACTTTACTTCACTGTATCCCATTAGGTATGATCGAAAATAACCTAAAAGTCCCTTAACGCCAATGGCGGATCGGGTTAAGAGGCTTGACATATTTATAGACATGTAAGTCGATGGGGGATGTGGTCAGCATCAAGTCGGCCTACTCTACTTCTTCGGACCTCACCTGGTACCCATTTAAGGCTGGGTCGATCTAGAAGACATGGTCACACTTAAGGAAAATCTGTCACCACGCGGGTTTGAACCTATGGCTTTCGGATTAGCAGGCGAGCACGCAGTCGAAACACCACGGTGGCTTCCGTAGTCGACAGTAACAAATGAAAAAGGAAAATGTCACTGTAGTTTTTTTCGGTTAGTTCGAGATTAGTCTCCCCAGACCCCGCACATATACATACTAGCTCACTTCTGGTTGGTAGTTCCTGAGCCCCGTGACCTTCGCACAAGGTTTTGGGGGTCTTCAGCAATGCTGTTGATATCGTTTGTTGTATATTTCAGCACGCCAGCGCTTTTAACACTCCGAAGTCATGGAGAAACTGGGTCTAACACAACTCCTCTAGAGAGTGCTGCAACCTATGTCGCAGGCAATCTCTTTCTCGGAATAAAAACGTAAATGTAAGACATCACAGAAACCAAACAACAGAGCGCGACACACCCATAACCTTCTCTATTTGGGGAGACTAAAGTCGAACCAACCGTTTTTCTTTTCTTTCTTAAAGGCGACCCCGCCCCACCCCTCCCCCACCTTTGTTTGTGTTGTATTTGGGCACTATTTAGTATGCATGTGACGAGATACATCGAGCAATGCTGGGCAACATAGGGAGCATTCGTATGTGGTCTCTCCCCCCCCCCCCCCCCCCGTAATTTTTTCCTCCACAATTACAACGAAAAACATTGAACTAATAAATATTACTACTGATATTATAAAAATCATTGACAGAAGGTTTATACAATGGCATAGGACAACACAATTATTAAAAGTACTAATGGCACAGTAGATAGTGCGCTCGTTTGTGGAGATACCGGTCCGGGTTTGATCCCCAAAATTATCTTGATTTTGTTCCCGACCAATGAGATTATGTGGTGAGGCCAACCCAGCCCATGAAAAAATGGGTAGCTGGCAATTTCCAGAATTGTCTGTAAATTGTTTGTAGGAACGGCGACGAGGAAGAGAACCGATCACCCAATCTCATGTGTGAATTTTTTTAAAGATAAAGTTTATAGGTTCATATTACTCCGTTTACCCATGTGGGTTCCGGGGCACCACTGTGGGGGAAACAAGAATAGATCCACTGCTTTCCCAAAAGCATGTCGTATGCGTCGACTAATCAGGGGTTTTCTTAGAAGTAGGATAGCATTTGCCTGAGAGGCAAGGAACCAATAGTCTGCATACGAATAAGGCACGCAGCTCTCGGGCTCTGAAACACGACTAAAGTCCTTGGATGGACGTACACGCTAGAGTTGACAGCCAGTGAACGCGAGAAGCAAGAAGAATCTTCTCGTGCGGGTTCCGGGGTCTCATTGTGAGGGAAACAAGAAAAGACCCACTGCCACTCTAACAAGCATGCCGTAAGAGTCGACTAAATAGGAGCTTCCTTCGAAGTCGAAGTGCATCTGCCAGAGCGGTAAGGAACAACTAACGTCACACGAACAAGCCAGTAAAACGGATGTACCCACAAAACTCAGGTCCTGGCACAAAGTCAAAGTCCGTCTAAGTTTACAGCCGGTGAACATAGAAGAAGAAGGTATATATATATATATATATATATATATATATATATATATATATATATATATATATATATATATATATATATTTTTAACGTATCCAGAAGCCATGAGTTGTAAACCCTTAGGCTCGGTACTATGGATATCGCAACCCATCGGCCTTGATTCCATGATAAATACCGTAAATCTGGGAGAAATGGGGCTTTTCTTCCTACCCCCGGGAGTGAACCCGGAACACAAGGAGTTCGTCACCCGACCGCCTCGAAAGTCAGGTTTAACCAACTTCGCTAGAGAGCCGGACAAGAAGGTAAATGGAGACCTATATTATGTGGCGGTCAAATACTTCACACTCTAACGACAGTATACTGTCTCTGTTCTTCTTATGTCGCCGAATACACAGATGGAATTCACAACAATTCTCCAATACTTCCGGTATGCTGCTTTTTCTTCCTTGCTGTTCTATGTCATTTCCCATTTCCTGGTTTTGCTTTCTTCTGTTTTCTTCAGATTTCCTTAGTTCGTCTACGTCTGCATTGTTTTTTAAAATATCAGCCTTGCATCGGAATTTACTATTAATTAAAAGTCATCCCCATTTGGGATGCAATTTTTTTGTTATTTGAAGCCCGACCCTAGGTTCTGCCGGGGGCCCTGAATATAGCCGGAGCATAGATATGGCCTAGCCATAGACATGGCCTAACGGCTGAAAGGGGTTTCTGGGACCTCTCCACGGGTGATCCTCATCCGCACGGTGGCACTTTGTGACACCGGGTGTTAATCGCTTGTGTGATGTTCTAGTGGGGAATAACTACCTACTTACCTACCTACCTACCGTGCACCGGAGAGCTGTCCTTGCCGGAGTCTTTCCTGTAAGACCCAATAGAATGTAAGTGAAGCGCGAGTCACCGTGACTCTAGTTAAGGTCCCTGACACGTATAAACGTATAAAACGATCTCCATTTTTAACAGACCTCTGAGTAAAGTTGGTAAAATAACTATTATATATATATGTATATATATATATATATATTATATATATATATATATATATATATATATATATATATATATATATATATATAAAATATATATATATATATAAATTAAGTATTCAAAGGGAGATAACATTCTCATGTCAATTCGTGAAATATTAACATCAAATTACTACCCTTGCTGAAGAAAATAAAGTAAGTGGTTTTACTTTCTATCAGTAACACTTGTCATCCCCTTGTAGGATGCAATTTTTCGTTATTCTGAAGCCCTACCCTGGCTCTTGCCAGGGGCCACAGTATAGTCCAGTCCATAAATATGGTTTAATGTCTGAACGCGGTTTCCGTGACCTCTCCACGGGTGATCCTTATCCAGATGGTTGCACTTTGTGTAATCGAGTGTTTATCGCTTGTGTGATGTCCTAGTGGGGTAAAATGTACTACTACTAATTCTTCCTTTTATTGAACCCGAAAAGGTTTTGGGTGGCTTCTACCCTGTGTACTAGGTAAATTTTAAAACTGTCCTCACACTTAGGACTGTTCGAACATACAACTACCGGACTGACCAGCAAGAGCTCTAGCCAACTGCCTTTCATCAACTTCCATTGTAACTATCAGGTTACCAAGGGGCTGAGTGGTTTCGAGGTATGGTGTCCGCCTCGAGTGCTGGAGGTACCGGGTTCAAACCCCAGGAAAGGCTAGGATTTTTTCACGTGGACTTCTAGTAATTCCCCCTGGTCTCTGGGTAGTAGGATCGGACGCCCGTGTGTATTCCTGCGCATGTAAAATAAATCCCCTGGCAGTTGGAGATCGAAAAGAGTAGCCTAACGACGCTGCCCGGGCAAAATTTAGAGTTAAAAATCTACCCAAAGTAAATCTGGATCCTCGCCGGTGCAACGGAGATCGGGCATTGCGCTGAGATTCGTCAGACTCAAACGTGAGTTAGAAGTAAAACGGAGCACTTATGGGTTACACCCGTGTGCCATAATGTTCATCTGTCGAATTAACATAAACTTTCAGGTTCTAGCCATAACCAGTTTATTTTGGCCTATACGAATATAATGGTATACCACACACATCTCAGTGCGTGGTTCATGGGTCTATTCGAGATTACACAACTAACCTAGATGCTCTCTCAGTTGTTGGCCACAAATACAGTAACAATAAAGATAGCAATTAGACATTTGTCCCTCTAACTTCTTCTTTTTCGCATTCACTGGTTGTAAACTTTTGTGAAAACTCTTAGTTGTTCATAAATTGCTGGACTTTAGTCTTATCCCAGAACTCGTAATTTGAATGTTTGTGTGCACATCCGTTTAAAAGATCTGGCTTATTTGTATGCAGACCGTTGGTTCCTTGCCTCTCAGGCAGATAAAATCTGACTATGAAGTAAACGCCCATAATAAGTCGACTTTCACGAAATTCTTGTTAACTGAGTAGGGGTTTATTCTGTCTCTAATAGCCCTTCTCCCTCCCCCAACCGTCAAATGAGACCCGGAACCATCAGAGGATTACCTCAAACAGCTAATTATAAATGTCGTGGAGAATTATAAACAGACCTAACATTGGGCTGGAAATGAACAAAAATAATGTGTTACGGGGTGAAGTTTTTGAATATAATGTAATATGAAGTTAAAATTTATAAAGTAACGTCACATGACCTTAAAATTGTATTAACACATAATGGAGTGGAAATATATAAACTAATGTAATATGGCATGGAAAAAATCTACATCACATGGCACGGAAAATCGGAAAATAATGTAACATGACTTCAAAAAATATACACTAATATAACATGACTTCAAAAAATATACATTAACATAACATGCCTTCTAAAAATATACACTAACATAACATTCTTTGGAAAATTATATTACTACATTGCATAAAAGTCTTTCTTTTACGGCTCCTAACTGTACGCATTCAAAGGCATCTTTTTTTCCCCAGCAGTTCTATAATAGACACTTTATGTTGTGTACCGGCACCTTTCTTAAGGAAAACAAAGTCGTGGTTACAAAGTATGGACAATTATAAATTGACCTAACATGGCATGGACAATTATAATTTAACCAAAGATGACATGGACAATTATAAATTAACCTAACATGGCAAAAACAATGATAATTTAACCAAACATGACATGGACAGTTACAAATTGACATAGCATGGTGTAGAAAATTTACTAGTGACCAAATTCAACACTGCCGAATAAGACGAGGCCACGCCGGCAACAATTCCAATGATCATGATTTCAATGCAGGCAACTTTCTCGTGCAGTGGGACCGTGCTGAAAAGCAATGTAACATTTTGTTAACTTTACTGTGTATGAAATAACTACCAAATTCTTTCATGGCAGCATTTACAAATGCTAATGTTACATAACGTTAGTTTTTTTTCCCTCTCAATTTTGTTGGCCGTTTGTGGATTACCAAGCGATTTTCATTCCAGTAGTTTGCTTCTGTCCACTCAACGGTCAGCTCTCAAAGCCATTGTCGAAATCATTGCAAAGCGGTCTTCCGCCAAATCACCCGCAGCTGGCATCGAATCGGGAATCCTGGAATTACAAACTGCGTTAGCAACCCCTATGCAAAACTTCTTCTTATTCTTCTTCTTCTTCTTCTTCTTCTTCTTCTTCTTCTTCTTCTTCTTCTTCTTCTTCTTCTTCTTCTTCTTCTTCTTCTTCTTTTTCTTCTTCTTCTTCTTCTTCTTCTTTTTCTTCTTCTTCTTCTTCCCTTTTCATCTGCTTTTATTCGAAGATGTAAATGTGTTTTACCCGTTTACATCACGGCTGCTATTTTTTTTTTTTTGCGCTTTTCAGCCAACACATCCGATTTCTGCATGTTGCCAGCGTTAGCCTTCCCGTTTAATAGATACACACATTATATTTCGTACAATTTATCGCCGGACAAATTTCGCCGTTTCTTCAGACATAACTTGGCTGGCTGTATCGATGTTCGTCAGTTAAGTGATTCTGCATATTCGTATGGTTTTGAGTTATATTTGTGCCGATGAAGGCCCTATAGCCACAAGGTTCACTAATATTCTGAAGCTCGCTGATCTACTTTTCGTTCGGTTTTATATCTTTCCTTGATGCGTTATATTAGGTTTTGTTACATTCTGACCACGGGACCAAACCAGTTGATTCTCTGATGGTTTATAAAATCAATCTCTGGTTGATTCTCTGATGATTTATGAAATCAGTCTCCAGTTGATTCTCTGATGATTTATGAAATCAGTCTCCAGTTGATTCTCTGATGATTTATGAAATCAGTCTCCAGTTGATTCTCTGATGATTTATGAAATCAGTCTCCAGTTGATTCTCTGATGGTTTATAAAATCAATCTCTGGTTGATTCTCTGATGGTTTATGAAATCAGTCTCTGGTACTGTGCCTCCTATTGTTCTAAATTCTTTATTGTTGACTCCTTGTCTCTTTTTGTTTTTCATGCCAAATTTCTTATACATCCTATTTCACGTTGTAATTTTGTGTTTATATTGTTTTAGCACTGATAGCACAAAGTTGGTATAAAAATTGTTTTCATCAGCCCTATCTCTCTCTCTCCCAATGTCTCTCTCTCTCTCTCTCTCAATGTCTCTCTCTCTCAATGTCTCTCTCTCTCTCAGTGTGTCTCTGTCTCAATGTCTCTCTCTCTCTCAATAAATCTCTTTCTCCCAATGCGAATCTCTCTCTCTCTCTCAATGTCTCTCTCTCTCTTAATCTCTCTCTATCTCTCTCTCTCTCTTAATCTCTCTCTCTCTCTCTCTCTCTCTCTCTCTCTCTCTCTCTCTCTCTCTCTCTCTCTCTGCGCCTACATGTTGTTATTGTGATGACTCAAAAGTGGCGCTATTCGGTAATTGATATTGTTGGGCTTCTGTATTCAGTTTTGTATTTCCCTGTCCAATCCTCCATACTCTGTGAAAGACTGCCCAGACACTTCAACTCATTAGCTTGTTTTCACGTCTCTCCTTCAACAGTGATGATATACTGGACTGGTGTTCTATTTCTGCAGTTATTTCTGGCGGTTTTCCTGGTATTTACTTTCCTACAGTTTTTGCAACAGGTGTTAAAACTGTTGTACGATGCTGGAGGTTATCATCATCTGTCTATAAGATAACATAATCGTCCAGATTATTGGATCAGGTCAGTGCTCTTGTCTTACGTCATCATATGGCCAAGTCACCCAGAAGTTTATCTGTTTGTCTTTCTCTTTGTTCTTTTCTCATTAGTCTTGTCAGTTAGGACCAAGCCTGGAGTTCATTCCTCCTCACAACATATCGGAAAAAACGCCAACAGTCTGCTTCTACGGGAAAAACATGGTTGCAAGTTAGCTATTTGGATTCCCAACTAGCTACTGAACTACCGACTTTAGCGACTGTACTACCGACTTTAGCGATTGTACTACCGACTTTAGCGATTGTACTACCGACTTTAGCGATTGTACTACCGACTGTAGCGATTGTACTACCGACTGTAGCGATTGTACTACCGACTTTAGCGATTATACTACCGACTGTAGCGATTGTATACCGACTTTAGCGATTGTACTACCGACTGTAGCGATTGTACTACCGACTTTAGCGATTGTACTACCGACTTTAGCGATTGTACCACCGACTTTAGCGATTGTACTACCGACTTTAGTGATTGTACTGCCGACTTTAGCGATTGTACTATCGACTGTAGCGATTGTACTACCAACTTTAGCGATTGTACTACCGACTGTAGCGATTGTACTACCGACTGTAGCGATTGTACTACCGACTTTAGCGATTGTACTACCGACTTTAGCGATTGTACCACCGACTTTAGCGATTGTATAACCGACTTAAGCGATTGTACTACCGACTTTAGCGATTGTACTACCGACTTAAGCGATTGTACTACCGACAGTAGCGATTGTACTACTGTCTTCAGCGATTGTACTACCAAATTAGCTAGTGCACTACCGAGATGTATTTTATGTCTGAACTAGCTATAGTACTATCCCACCAAGTTAGCTATTGTATTCCTGCCATCAACATTAGGCCGTCTGTTCTATTTCCAATGACTTTACTTGGTATCCATTTAAGGCTGGGTCGACCTGGGAGCCAAGGCTATTAAAACAAAAAGTCCAGCTTTGTTAGGATTTGAACCCACGACCTTTGGATACTCTATGGTAGCCGCTACACTACGACTGCCCCCTTTAAAAAATAAATTGCTGTTCTGTGGCTCTGTGGGTTCTGTGGCTCTGTGGGTTCACATCCGACGTTGAGTGTTGTATTTAACTTAAACACAAAAATCAGGCCTGCCGACATTACTAACAAGAGCATTCTCTTATACCTAATGTGTTCTTCGCGTTTGGTTTTATATGCTCAGATCAAACAATCAGGTGGGTTGCCATAAACCGAATTGAAGGTCGAATAAACCTGGAAGCGGCGGTAAATTAAGAAACCCTGCTTGATGTTCAAGAATAAGTAGATCAAGAACAATATGACAAGAAAACATCAGAAAAACTCGACAACATCACGGTCTGACTGTGGTCGAGGCGGCCATAAAAGCAACAAATAGAACATTAAATCTCCATCAACACCCGAAGCGGTTAAAAAGGAAGTGAAGAAGAAGAAGAAGAAGAAGAAGAAGAAGAAGAAGAAGAAGAAGAAGAAGAAGAAGAAGAAGAAGAAGAAGAAGAAGAAGAAGAAGAAGAAGAAGAAGAACTCAAGTGTGTTGAGAAAGGACAGCACGATCGAACTTTAAACTAGCCAATTTTGAAAAAAAAATTCTAATGAGAATCCTGCAAATATTTTCTACAAGCATATCATAGATGAAGACATGAGGAAAATGTATGGTCTTCAATGGCAAATGTTTTCAAGGGAAAGAGTTGGAGATGGCTCGGACACGTTTGCAAAATATCTAATAGACTTTGGCATGGAGAGCTTTCCGGTGGCCGGCAGATAGAGAAAGAGGACGTGGAAGAAATATAGAAACAGGACAGTAGAAAGGGAAATAAAGAAATCAAAAATGAGGATTCGAAAGGCATAAAAGCAGAAGACTGGCAACAATGGAGGTCGCACGGAATGCATTATGTGTCAACTTTTTCTTAGAGTCCATGCTGTGTGGCGCTGCTAGTCTGTCTTAGGTACTTTCAAGCAACTCTGATACACATGTTCTTCCATGTAATGATGTCAATTTGTCCAGCATCTGTTCTCTGGGTGTCTCCCTCTGCCTCTTCTCCCCTCCAACTTTCCTACTGTCACGATGTACTCCAGTTTTCTCCTTCTCTTCACATGATCAAAGAATGTAGATTGTCTCTTTCTGCTGTGTCAACAGAGACATAAAAAATATATAGAAAGACAGAATGATGATCAAACCTATGGTTACAGGCCGACACACACGCATACGAGTCACTACAACACGGCGTCTTCCATATTTTGGTGACCAAATGAAATGTGTACAATTGTTGGGTATTACTCACATCTTGTCCCAGTCTCCAGACATTGAGCATAGCTTGAGGTAGAACACTGGCGGGAGTATGTAGGCCAGAAGTGTGGTTGTAGAACCACCAATAAGTGACAGGATTGCACCAAAATGAGGGACAGATTCGGCAACGAATAGTATTAGTGCCACCATGATGGTCCGAATGATTACCCGTCGAAAGTTGAAATCTGTACATAAGAAAATAACATAGATTTTTTCTTCACTTAAATTATGATTTAACATCTCTCTCTCTCTCTCTCTCTCTCTCTCTCTCTCTCTCTCTCTCTCTCTCTCTCTCTCTCTCTTTTCCCTCTGTGTCTGTGCATGGATATATATATATATATATATATATATATATATATATATATATATATATATATATATATATATATATATATACATACACGCCCCTTTTTATTTGTATATATGTGTGTGTGTATTTGCTGCTTCGTTTTCTCTGATGTTTCTGTCACTGTTTATGTCTCTCTCCTCCCTCTCTTATCTTTTCGTCTCTTAGACGCGCCCCTCCCCCTCACCCGCCCCTCCTCCACCCCCAATAATTTCTTTAAACCACCTGTAGTACCTAGATCAGGATTCGTTGTCCTCTGCCAACTTTCCTGACTGGCTGTGTAATACATAGACTATTAATAGCTGAATGCAAGATTTTCCGAAGATAAACATGTTTGTAATAAAACACATCTGCAAAAATTCCTCAATTATGTGGGCGTAAAATACTTCCTTAACATTGCTACTTTTGTTGGATTTAGTCTTGTTTTGTGCATTGATAAAATCTGTAGGGGACGGGCCTCGGTGAGCAGGTCCGGGTGTCTAGCGGAAAAGAAATTCTCATCCCTTGAAAGTCCATCGTGTCCGAATTGTCTGCCAGTGTTCCTCTGCCACCTGCTAACAAAGTCTAACATGTGTCCGGTATACCAATCGTAAGCTTGTCGCTGGGTCGTCCAGGTATGCAGACTGCTCTAGTTATGCTACCGCGACGACTTCTTATCTCACAGTGCCTTCTACAAATCACCAATTCTTGTCCCTATCCGAACAACATCCGGTAATTTCGTGCAGCAGGGAAACCAACCCTGAGCTTCATGAACTCAGTTGGGCCCACTCTCTGAAAACGTCTAGGAGCTCGTGGGCCGAAACGTTTGTCGACGAGAGATTACTTCTACTGACGATTGGTAGATCCCTGCTGTACATGCTCCCCTGTGGAGTTTCTTCTTACTTATTGTAGTAGAAATGTTAGCTTATATTTGTACCAATCTTTTCTTTTCCCTCCCTTACGCTCTTTGTAGCATAGACTGTATTATGCTTAGTTACTTCTTAAGCAATTATGTGTCTAGATGAGACTGGACGATCTAACAGAAGCTGATACATATGACAAACTAATTAACTTCATGTCTATACAAGCATGACCGCTCAAAGAGAAGCTAATAAATATAAGAAACTCATCAATGGATGTCTAGATTAGTCTGAGTGTTCTAACAGAAGCTGACATCTATGATGAAAAGACAGTTACGTGTAGGTATCTTGAGGAGCTCCTCTGTTTCTTGACACACAGGATTCATGACAATGATGAAGCCACAGAAGAGATGAAGGGTGATGAGCACCTCAACAATGTAAAGCATCGGTCCAGGTGACATAGTTTCTAGGATGTTGTCTGCTGCCTGTGTCCCGTAGACTGTGTAGCCACAGATAGCCACCGGCAGATACATGAGTAGGACAACTGAAAACGGAAAAAAAAAATTATACAGTCATTTTGGGGGGGGGGGGGGGGGGGTAATGGGGAGGGGGTGAGGCACCTTTCCGTCTTTTCAGAGGAAAGAATCACCTCTCATGGCGATGGCGAGACCATAGCACGAAGTCTGAGCAGTGTTGTAGATGCTTTATGTTGCCCATGCTTCATGATTCCTGTCTCGTCCTGCCTTGTTTACTCCAAATGAAAGTCAACACCAGTACGCTTTGAACGAAGAAGGCTGCAGAGGCCACCGGATTAGAAGAGAGGGGTGCTGTCTATCCGCCTGCAGGAACTTTCATCCTAGACCGGCTAGTGGGCTGGTCTGCCCCGTCATTAAATACAGTTTTCTGATTGCATTTGCTCACCACAGAATAAGGAAAGACACCCACAAATAAATAAATAAATAAACAAATATATAAATAAAAAGAACTAATGACAGTCAGTAAAGAACATGACAGTGATGAAAATAAAATAGAAAAAATAAAAAATATTAACAAACGAGAAAAAAAAAAAGAAAGAAAGACGAAAACGAAACCAGAAATCAACTCACGAAAAAAACCCCAGATATGCTTTATAACCAAAGCTTACAAAAAAAAAAAAAAAAAAAGCAGGTAGAACAAGATCTACATTTTTGCACCTTTCCCTCAAAATACATAAATGAATGAATGAGCAAAGAGGAGACCAGTCTGCACTTTGTGATTTCATTTGTTGTACACGAACATCAAGATTAACATTCTTCTTATGTGACGAATAAATTGACCTGGATTGGTTGGCACTCAGAAATACTAGGGAAAGTTAACGCCTGGAGCAGTGTTTCTAAAACGTTTTGGTCCATCGTCACCTTTCCAGTGAAAGAATAAATAAATAAATCGCCATGTGATCAAGGTATTTATCCTTTCGCACTCCATCTGTCTTCTTTCTATCAGTCTTGCGAGTATTCTTCGCCTTGAAATATATACTTTTTGTAATAAAGAGAAGTGACTCCTTGAGTATGAAAGTGGGTGAGGCGGGAGAGCTGGCGAAAGACCGAGTTTCTTTCAGGCTGACCGTGATGAGAGGAAAGTTCTGCAAAGGACCTGCTACATGATGATGATGAATAAAACAAAAAGAAGTACAGACTGGCAAAACTAAAGAATAACATTTTCTTTACTGAGAAGGATGAGTCTAACTGGTTATAACTTAATTTCCTTGCTTATTTTGGGGAAAAAAAAACATAAGCAATCTGTCATTATATTCTTTACTGAAAAAGGTACAGTTTATCAAAATGGTCTCTCTCTCTCTCTCTCTCTCTCTCTCTCTCTCTCTCTCTCTCTATATATATATATATATATATATATATATATATATATATATATATCCCTTTCTCTTTCTCTCCCTCTTTCTCTCCCCCCCCCTCTCTCTCTCTCATTACTGATGTCTTAGTTAAATTCAAAGCTTCACAGCTGCACTTGAAGCCTCCCTAGAGCGCCCCAGAGAACCCTCTAATTTGATCGGGCCAGCTACCCCCCCCCTCCTCCGTCTAAGCGTCCCCTGGCCTGGGGGAGGTAGCGCCCACTTAAGGAAACACAGGCCTAAAGAATCAACTTTATTGCACCAGGTTTTATCCTATATATAGATCAGTCTCTCTCAGCAGAACACCTAGCCGCCAACTAAGATCGTCGCCAAAAAGCACAAACTCTGACGATCCGCAAGGATCTCCATACAAACTGCACTTGTGATCTGATCAACGCAGGCTGTGAAATGAACCAACAATCTTCAAAGGTTGAGGCAAACGGCTTGATCACAGCCACGGAGACCCCCCCCCCCGGCCCCTCCCCCACCCCCGCCTTAGTATGTCTAACTGGTCATGGGTCGAAGAACATTTGTTCCTTCAGTGAGGGACAGGGGCGCTGATACAATTAAAACAGTAGGTAAGGGAGAGGTTTAAGGGTCCTAAACTTTGTTTAAATGCCTAATAATAATGATATTATATTTAGAATTGTAACAAAAATCACCACAAGAACTTTTATTCAGTTTGGCCTGTTTATAAGTCAGGAGTCTAAATCAGTTCTGAGTTTTTTCGGGGTTGGGGTTGAGTTTAAAGTGCTTAGACTGCTTCGACCCCTAGATTCCGACTCCCTTGGCGAGGCGCTATCGTCATATGAAGATGCCAGGTTCGTTTCCAGCTACGGAAACAACAGTTTTAGATCTGGTGTGTCTTTCCGTCTCTGCTTCTTTCGCTTTCATTCCTGATTGCCAGTTAATTCGTGCATTTATTAATTATACTGTCTCTTTGACCTGCAGAGTTCACCAACTTTGATTATACTTTCTTTTTCATACCTTAGTCTTTCACTGCTTCGTGTTTGAAGGAGATATAGGGTTGTGGTTCTCTGGTCTTCTGGCTGCTAGGTCATAGACACCTGAGACTTGTAGTTTTTCAGATTTTGTTTTGTCCTTCCCACCTTGATTTTGGTCTGTATCAGTGGTCAGCAAATCGTGGCTCGCGAGCCGCATGCGGCCCTTTAGCGACCAGAGTGTGGCTCGACCAGTCGGCCACAAATCGATTTTGACTCCGAAAAACATGGCTCTTGACAGGTTGTTATGACTCTTTCGACTAAATAATTTGCCGAACACTGATCTTTACCCGTGCTTAGCGTCCATCTTTTTTTGTGTCCTCGATGTTTTCACGGCATTACAAGATCTCTCGACGTGGTCACACCACATAGTTTACAGACCTTGCACTAATTCAGTTTTGGTCGTACATAGCCTTATTATCTTGCATCCTTGCTTGATATTATAGTGATAATACATACAAAGATTACTAACACTAAAGAATAACACTGGGCAAACGAATCTGAAGACAGTAAATCAGTTATTTTAAATCAAATACTTACTGCAGTAAGCAATAAAAATGGCTCTTCCAAATTTCTCTGGTTCTTTCATGTCGGTTTGAAATGTTGGAAAGGCTGGGTGACCACCGAATGCAAAACAAATGGTGCCAAAAGCCATGAAAAAGCTTTCAAACTGGATCTCTGGGTAAGTAGCTGGACTCAGTTTTTTGCCATCGTACATGGCGTTAGCAACAATCAGACAGCAAGCGATACTGGTGGACACAACAGCCCCTACTGCAATTGGCCTAGGAAGAAATTGTATCGGGACTGTTAACCAACATCAGTCGCTTCATTCATTTCATAATGTTTTACACTAACATTATTTGCATTGTTTTTTTCGGGACTAGGCAAATAATCCTCAGAATTTATTGATGGGTGTGTCGTTGTAAAGGTATCACCACCCCCCCCCCCCACCCGCTCCCCGACTCCCTTTCCATCCACAATATTTTACTATTACTTATTGAATAGTAAGACATTATTCTTCAGTATCTTCTGCAGTATTCCGTTTCCTTAAGGGCTATTGCTGCAGACATCAATTGCCTCCATGCACCGCTCTGACTGGTGTTCTCTTTCTAGCTCTGCAGATATCGAAATTAGAGAGCTATGAGTTGTGTACACAAAAGAGTTGAATATGAATAGAACCAGACATACAAAGACTTGGAGTCACCAGCTAGAAAGAGAACGCCAGTCAGAGCGGTGCAGATATAAATAAACTACAAAGAATAGGGCATGCAGAGAGAATATAAAAAAAAAATAGAGAGGCAGACCTACGAAGACTAGGGGTCACCAGCTAGAAAGAGAACGCCATTCTCTCGGTATGCCCGAAACATTGCAGTCTATTGACCCCCATGATGTCAATAGTTATTGATAATTTGAATCGCTTATAAATGTCCACACTTTTACTCTTGGCAAAATCAACGGAAAACGACCTGCTGTCAGATTACCTCTAGATGACTCAGCATGAAAGATGATGAAAACTGAATTCTTAAATCCCGAGCAACAGAGGCTGGTGTTTTAGACAAAACCTCATCAACATCCCGTAGGGTGGCCAGATGTCCCGTTTTCGCTGGGACAGTCTCGTTATTGTCGAGTGTCCTGACCGTAATGTGATAGGCTGGAAAACGACAAAGACTACTGTTCAGCAGATCAACGATTTTGATTTAATCTGGTTTAAAAATGCCAAAGAGGCCATAGGAACAGCTATTAGCTTTGGCCGGTAAAGCGAAGAAACCTGGCCAACCATCAGTTTAGAAAAGATCTTGTTTAGTCTTTTAGCGTTCTATTTGGCTTCCGGACCGACCCTGCAAAACACCGACTTAGCTGTTGCGGCTTTGCACACTGGGCAGCCAGCTTGGGTACGGACGACTGCAGGGGAAGGCCGATTGTCAGACTGGTTCGTGTTTATATATGTATATATATATATATATATATATATATATATATATATATATATATATATATATATATATATATATATATATATATATATATATATATATATTTTTAAGCGCCAGCTGTCCCGTTTTATACACATCTATCTGTCCTTGCATTTTTCTACTTTTTTTTTTTTTTTAGTGCCCATTAATACATTGTCTGTTTGTTTATCAAATACACAGATCTATGAATAATCCAAAGCTAGGAACCTGCACTTCTTATGATAACTATAGACCTTAGATTAGTTTGTTTTAGTTACCTTTATTCTCTGATACGTGTTGATGAAAGTTTTCATCGCAAATTTTTTTTTATAGTTCAGTTTAAAAGCATATTGTTTCGTTTATTTCTTAGTGACAATGATTGGGGTTTTAATACCACTGCCGAGAAAGTTATTAACCCGTTCACTTCACTGACCTAAGGAAAGGGAGTCAGGTTTAAGGTTAAATAGACTAACTTGGGATGTCCAGCTTTCCGCTCAAAATGCTAGAAGAATGTCCAGTTTTCAGCTCAAAATATTTGGGGGATGTTACGTTTTTAGCTCGAGATATTATCACCCCCCCCCCCAACCCCTGCATAGATAAAATTAAAAAAATAAGGACCTGTGGCAATTCATGGATGCTAGTAATTGCAAAATGCATTTAGAAAATAATGTATAATTAATGAACTAATACTATATAAAAGGGAACTAGTTTACAATGCGTTGCAAAACAGTGCAAATGAATAGGTACCAAACGAGTGTATAAAAATCTACGTCTCCAAGTTTCTAATGTTTTCGCGAAAAACAGGCTCCAAATATCGGGAGATTTAGGCACTTACCAAAAGTCTTTTGGAGTGCCGAGCCAGCTGATTGGACACAGCGCTCCCGCCACGATGATTAACCAATAGCAGAAGGATATATCCCTCCCAGCATTCCTGACCAGAGACTGGAGATTTTCAGAGGCCAACAGGAGGAAGACAACTGACACACCGAACAAGGTCACGTTGATGCTGCAAGATGCCACCAGTCTGAAAACAGACAGTGATTAAAATATAAATGATGCTACAAGATACCACCAATCCAACAACAGACAATCAACAAAATATAAGTGATGTTACAAGATACAACGAATTTAACAACAGACAATTAACAAAATATAAGTGATGTTGCAAGATACCACAAATCTAACAACAATCAACAAAATATAAATGATGCTACAAGAAACCATCCATCCAACAACTGACAATCAACAAAATATAAATAATGCTACAAAAAACCACCAATCTATCAACAGACAATCAACAAAATATAAATAATGCTACAAGATACCACCAATCTATCAACAGACAATCAACAAAATATAAATAATGCTACAAGATACCACCAATCTATCAACAGACAATCAACAAAATATAAATGATGCTACAAGAAACCACCAATCTATCAACAGACAATCAACAAAATATAAATAATGCTACAAGATACCACCAATCTATCAACAGACAATCAACAAAATATAAATAATGCTACAAGAAACCACCAATCTATCAACAGACAATCAACAAAATATAAATGATGCTACAAGATACCACCAATCCAACAACAACAATCAACAAAATATAAATAATGCTACAAGATACCACCAATCTATCAACAGACAATCAACAAAATATAAATAATGCTACAAGAAACCACCAATCTATCAACAGACAATCAACAAAATATAAATGATGCTACAAGATACCACCAATCCAACAACAACAATCAACAAAATATAAGTGATGTTACAAGATACCACCAATCTATCAACAGACAATCAACAAAATATAAATAATGCTACAAGATACCACCAATCTATCAACAGACAATCAACAAAATATAAATGATATTATAAGATGGCTCCAAGATTGACCCAGGCATAAATAGGTACAAGGTAAAAGTCTTAGGAAGTAAAGGCGCTCGGCGTGATGTTGAACACAATAGACCATGAGTGCTGATAGGTTTATGATATATAGCCCTATATGCCTGAGTACCGCCGCTGTGTAGCGGTTAGGTTCTCGCCTGCGGATCTGCAGGTAGTTGTTAACGCTTTATAATCTTTTCGTTCTTTATAGGTTGAAATTGTTGGTTATTTGAAGCCCCACCCTGGCCAGGGGCCGCAATATATTTGTCCACTTGGAGAGAACGCCTGATGACGATATACCACACTTGGCATACACCAACAGAGGAGCTTGACACAGAGCATGAGGTAGACCAAGTACAAGTTAAAAAGAGAACATCAGAGAAACCCTACAACATCACGACGTGTCTCTGGTCAGGGCGGTCTGAAGAGCAAGAAGTCGAACCTTTTATCTCCCTCGACATCCGAAGCGACAAAAGAGGAAGTGACGGAGAAAAAGATCCCAATAACTTATGACTTAAAACAATGGATGTTTACATTTGAGTAGTTTACCATAGTCCAGTATCAGACAGGTGTCACAGAGCAGACGTAAAACTGGGTCTTTCAATCATGTTGCAGATTGTACCGAAATCTTAAAAATGGTGAAAATATGGGGATGTCTGCAGTCAATCTAATACAAGGAATTTCAGTGAAATGTGAATAAAACGCTTAACGAAATGGGAAAGCAGACAAATTTGCACAGGCTAAAAAAGGATAACGAAAAAGGGAAGCAGAAAAACGTACACTCTCCTATTTGTTACATTTGTGTAGTTCACTTCATGTTTGACAAAGGCTGCCGGCCGAAACGTTATTTGTGTTGTTTTGTGCACGTTTTTCTGCTTACCTATTTCGTGACGCTTTTTAGTAACATTTCAATGGAATAACCAAAATCTTCGTGGGCTACTAAAGAAGTGAAAAAAAAAAAAAAAAAAAAACAACTAGTGTGGAAATATTCTGAGTGAAATTAGTTTTGTCATGATCAATTCATTCATTTACATGACGATAGAGTACATTAACAGATAAAACACATGCAAACATTTATGCTTACCTTCCAAATCTTCCAAAAGCGACCTGACCAATGGCTGGATAAGGGTACCGTATATGCTGCTGGTAATCGTGGCATCTCTGCATGACTATAGTCCAACATTTGCCCAGCAGCATGCCCGTATAGGCCGACACCAGGGCACAGGCCACGTTCAGTAGTATACCAATGTAGCCTACAGTGTGGACACGAGGTGTACACTATCTTTATCACAGAGACAATGGACATCTTTAGCTTTTTGTAGTAAAACTAATCAACCAGCGAGATACCGCCAGACTCGTATTTGTTTCTTGGCTGGTTTGTTGTTTGGTAAATTTGTTGTTAGATTTGTGGGTTAGACTGTTGACTGTTTACAAAAAAAAAAAATACTGGTTTGTTGATTGCTTTGTCGGCTGATTTGTTGTTTGGTTAGTTTGTTTGCTGGTTTGTTGTTTGGTCAGTATGTTGCTAGGTCTGTTGGTTGGTTGGTTGTTTTTTGTTTGTGTTTGGTTTGTTGTTTAGCCAGTTTGTTGTTAGGTTAGTTAGTTGGCTTGTTGGCTGGTTTCCGGTTTGGTCAGTTTGTTGTTCGGCTAGTTAATTGCTTGTTTGTTGGAGGGTTGGTTGTATGGTCAATTTGTTGCTAGGTTTGTTGATGGTTTTGTTGGCTTATTGGTTTTATGTTTATACTTTAGATCCGGAGGGTTCAGGCAGGTTCAGTGCAAAGACAATGGCTTAAATCAATTCAGAAGTCCACTGTGCGTGGAGTCACCTTTATTTTTGTTCCTGGACACGCAGGTGTCGATGGAAATGAAAGAGCTGACAGGTTGGCGGGATCCGCTATCACTACCGACGGTCGGCCTATGGATAATGCTGATATTATCAATGCCCTCAGAGAAATGGGAAGGATAGAGGACTTTGGTGGCGGTGAATCCGCATCACTCGCCAGAATGGCAGACTTGGGAATTAAGATCGGCACAGCAAAAAACGAGATGCACACCGGACACGTCAGAAGACTTGTTAATCAACATAGAAATGGTACTATTAGCCATCGGACGTTGGGGTTCATACTGAGGGGAGGATCTGAGCACCTATGGACATGTCCGGAGTGCAATGATGATAACCCAACTAACTAACTAACTAACTAACTAACTTTAGTTCGTTTATTTTGGGGTTATTGGATGGTTTGTTCGCTGAAGAATTGACTGGTTATTAAGCTTACTATTTTGCATGCACATATTCATCATTGTCATTTTATAAGTATGAAAATATTTACAACTGTAATAATCATATACTATAAATTGTGAAAACGCGAATCCTGAAATAAAAAAAAAAAAAATCATTTTTTTTAGATCATTTCACAGTCTCTAGTACCAAGGCTGACAGCTGTTTTAAAGCTAATACCGGTTAGCGAGTTAGCAGAAAGCGAGCAGGAGTTACAATAGCATAACATAACGCGCTTCTAGAAACTATACTGGAGGGAAAAGTCGAGGGCAGGAGAGCAAAAGGTAGACGCTGTTACAAGTGGGAGGATAGCATCAAGAGATGGACGAATAGTAGTCTGAGAGAGCGTACAATCAATACAAGAGACAGAGCGTGTTGGACATCCATTGCTGCCAATCTTGAGCGCGGAGACGGCATCTGATTGATTGATTGATGGATGGATTGAACAGTTAGTAAAACCACGCACACACAACACAACACACCATTTGTTTGCTGGAAGTTTCAATTCTTTTGTATGCATTCACCTGTGAAATAAAACATCTGATTGTATACACTATTATTGTTGTATTACGTGTATGAAATAGGGATAGGTACATACCTGTGCCTTTAAGAGCAGAAGGCAAGGCCAGTACACCAGATCCCGCCATCTCTCCCACGGCAAACACGGCTGTGGTAAACACTGTCAGGCCATGAGCGTGGTGGCCAAGAAGTCCAGTCTCCGTCTGCGAATCGAATATGATCATTATACAATCAAGCTCGTCGACACATAGAAAACATTGTAAGGGCTATCACCTCTCTTCCCGTCATACACATTTTCTAGGCAAAATGTGGGGGGTGGAGTGGGGAGAGGGGGGGGGGTCAAGGGGACTAATCCTAGTTTAAGAGAATAGTACTTAATAATACGGTGCTGAATGCTACATAAATAAAATAATGCATTCGAAATGATAGTCTTCTTCTTAGCGTTCACAGACCGTAAACTCTGGCGAAAGGTTCTAGATGTTCGCACCCATTTTGCGTGTACATTCATTTTACAGATCTGATTTATTTATATGCAGACTGTTGGTTCCTTGCCTCTTGGTCCGGTACGCTCCGACTTCGGCTAAAAGGCAAAAGAAGAACAGTCTGAATTTATCTGGCAGAAAAAAAAATTAATTTTTTCTCAATGTTTGAAGTTACTACCACAATTTATTTAACAGCAACAATTCATCATAATCAACAACTACTAAACCACCAGCACCATAATTGCTAGCACCATCAACACTCTCACTACAACCACCACCACTACTACTGCATCTACTACCATCACCACCACCACCACTACTACTGCATCTACTACCATCACCACCACCACCACTACTACTGCATCTACCACAACCACCACCACCACTACTACTGCATCTACTACCATCACCACCACCACCACTACTACTGCATCTAATACCATCACCACCACCACCACTACTACTGCATCTACTACCATCACCACCACCACCACTACTACTGCATCTACTACCATCACCACCACCACCACTACTACTGCATCTACTACCATCACCACCACCACCACTACTACTGCATCTACTACCATCACCACCACCACCACCACTAATACTGCGTCTACTACCACCATCACCACTACTACTGCATCTACTACCATCACCACCACCACCACTACTACTGCATCTACTACCATCACCACCACCACCACTACTACTGCATCTACTACCATCACCACCACCACCACTACTACTGCATCTACTACCATCACCACCACCACCACTACTACTGCATCTACTACCATCACCACCACCACCACCACTAATACTGCGTCTACTACCACCATCACCACTACTACTGCATCTACTACCATCACCACCACCACCACCACTAATACTGCGTCTACTACCACCATCACCACTACTACTGCATCTACTACCATCACCACCACCACCACCACTAATACTGCGTCTACTACCACCATCACCACTACTACTGCATCTACTACCATCACCACCACCACCACCACTAATACTGCGTCTACTACCACCATCACCACTACTACTGCATCTACTACCACCAACACCACTACTACTGCATCTACTACCACCAACACCATCATCTCTTGTACTAATAGAATCACTCATGCTATTACAATCACTCATGATATTACAATCACTCATGCTATTACAATCACTCATGCTATAACAATCACTCATGCTACTACAATCACTCATGCTATCACAATCACTACTATTACTGACGCTGGCTTCTTCTGCTATTTTGCCTAATTTATATTTAAAAAATCATTTATAATAAATCATTTACCTGGACACTCGCTGTCCTGGTTAGAAGACCGGTCACCTCTTGTAAACCGGCCATCTCTCAAAGGCACATGAATGAAGACGCTGAAAGTAAATGTGTAGATACAGGATCATTTTCTAATATCTGAAGGAAACAACACACACACACACACACACACACACACACACACACACAACAGTCGAACTATTTAACCATAATATAGTCCATACGCCACAAAAGACGGCGGCGGGGCCACTGTCGTCTGCCACAACTTATTGATTCTGTTTTTTATTTTACTAACATGAAATAATGTTCTGTTGTTTCTGCTGTCTGTGGATAATCGTCGATGCTACTGAGCAATGTTCATTGCGCTGAGATTCTCTTGTGTAGACGTTAGGTGTTAAATTTTGTTTGGTAGTGGCTGATGACCGGAAACGAAGGAAAACCACGACGGAGCCATCCACTGTTATTTCAACTAGAACAGAATGGGAGTTGTTAGCTTAAAAAACACTTACAGACATACTCAGGAGGAGATCAGAGCACTTATGATCCCTTCCGATGTGCAATGAAGATGATCCTTAAATGAACAATGAACATTGAACAAGTGTGTTACTGTTCAGTACCAGGTCGCTGGTAATCCATAATCCATATCGAGTAACCAAATCTCGTTCAACATTTTAATTCCCCCCCCCCCCCCCCATTTTTTCCCCTCCCCGGCTGAGGATGTGACGTCCCTCGCAACAAGACACGGGAAACCGCAGATATCCCGTTCAACCTGGAAGTATGTTTTATTTGGAGTAACTGTGAAAGCTATACCAAGCTGCGATCCCCACAGTCGAATGTGGGTAGAGAATATAACATTCGTTTTACAGTCTACATCTTTCATTCCGTTGTGTGTGAGTCATCTGGTAGTGAATACATACAACACGGCTTTAATACAATAATTACAAGAGCATGTACAGCAGGGGTCCACCGATCGTCAGTAGAAAGATCCCTCGTTGACGATTGTTACAGGCTAAACCCAACTTATCTATATGGGCTTTGAATTACAACTTGCGTTCTTGTAAGGCAGCTCCTATCAGATGCGAAATTCTAAAAAAAAAAAAGAATAATAATCCTAATATATAGCCGAAAACGGCAAAGTAACGTATTGCAGGAAATAAAATGGAAATATGGAATTATGGGATGTCACGAGACGATCTCAGTGATTCCAGAAGTTAGTACTTGTAATAAGTTCTTCTGGTTCTAAAGAGACAGAATTATATTTACTCTGCGCTTTATCCTAATATTGCTTTAAACCGCACGGATTTAAATTGTTACCAGTCCTTCTTCGAGACAAGCCACTGCGCTTTGTTTAAAATTACCCAACACTACGTAATATAGCCCGCTGGTTCAGACTAGGGATGTTAGATTGCATTCTCACGCCAGTGTCAGAATGTTATCTCCTGACCAGACTGTAGAGACTGAGGGGGGCCCTTTTGACCAGGTAAATTGAGTGGACGCTAGACATTGTGGAGCCCAGAGGTCAGAGTTTCACACGTCAGTGTAATTCGGGGGAGAACAGTTGTGTGGCAATTAGGAATGGTTTATCTTGGTCAAGGTCGTACTGTAGGCCGTTCACTGTGAGTGACAGGTCACTGGTTAGCCAAGTGATCTGATAGTTACCTCAGGGGCGGTGCTTAAGCCATCATCTTGAGGGTTGGGTAAAAACTAAGGAAAGGGAGGAGTTTAATTTGGACAATAGATTGATACTTATACTTCGAGCCTGTGGAATTTCCGTCATTAATCGCAGCCTGCCGGCAAACAACACAGATCGACCTAAAAGGTAAATTTTACGGTCGCATTCTGTTTTGGCGATTAATGGAAAGTTCCCAGGTAAGAGAAAATATTAATTTTAATCTTGTATACTTAGGTTAGGGAGTTAAGCTTAGTCTATACTACCTTTTCCTAATTTGTCTGCACATTCTGCTTGAAATAGTTCTGTGTGAATATTCAGTATCTCAGTTAGGGAACTGCTAAACTATTCCTATTTCTTGTATGTTTGTGTCACATGTTTTTCATTGTATGTTTTCATGTGTATAAAATAAGATGTGAACAATGACATTTGCTATAATGAAATGTAATTATATTGTTTCCATGATCAGCCAAAATATGAGTTTGGACTGTGGGAAATGATGCCCAAATATGTGCAGGGATGTTGCTACGTTTTGTGTGCCCACCATGTGCTCACTTAATGTGTTCACCTGAACAGGGGATTTATAACCTCAGGGGAAGAATGATGGGTGTCCAGTATTCACGGTCACTGAAAGATAATATTCAGGACAGCGTGCACATATAAATTGTTTTGCGGTTCAGCACATAACCTGCGCCACATGTTTATGTCAAATCTATGTCAGCCAACTCG